GATTTGGAGAACCTGGGGGACACTCAGGACTTCCTCCCGCCCAGGACTTCCTCCTTCGTCTGTAGATGGGGAAATATACCCTCCCTCCGGAGTTCACACTCCCCAGAGTGCGTCCTCAACAACTGGCAACCATTCAGTCCCCTCAGACCCTCAAAGTGAAATGCTCGATATTCTTCTGCTACCGTGCATGGCCTAAGCACCACCTGGAAGATGGAGAAAGATGGCCTGAGGGAAGTACCAACTATGACACCATCTGCGATCGGACCCCTTTCGTAAAAAAACAAAAACAAAAACAACCCACCAAGGCAAATGGTATGAGGATCTTGACAGTCTTCGTCTTTGGGGTGGCACAGACTCTTATACAAAGTGTGCAATGCACCCGGCCCTTCTGGCCATCGTGCAACAGAACAGAACAAGGGAGGGAGATGAGAGAGAGAGAAGCCAGGTGTTGACCAAAGCAGACAGGGAGCAGCTCCACCAAAACACGGAGCACCCCCCATACAAACCAGAGCCCGGAGCATCCTGCCACCCTTCTCCGTTACCCTCGCAGAAACAGGCCCCTGATGAGGAGGGAACACCATATAGGTCTGCTGCCCTTTCTCGCTCCAGGACTTGAAGCAAATAGAAAAAGACATGGGAAAACTTTCAGAAGATCCTGATAAGTATATTGAGGCCCTCATGGAAGTCAGCCAGGTCTTCAATCTTACCTGGAAGGATGTCAGGCTCCTTCTCCGAATCAGGCCCTCCTCGGAATCCGGCCTGCTTCGGAGCTGCCCTCACATGGGGAGGCCCTAGACTAGGGGCAGACCCCCACAGAAGGAAGAGAAGGAAGACAGGCTACAGAGGAGGTGACGCCCTTCCACATCACACTGGGAACCAGGCCTTCCTGACTTAGGATCCTGGGGGAGAGGGAGGACCAGACATCCCTTCACTGCATCATTGAGGGTCTCAAGAGCACTGGAGACAGACCTCTCCATTATGCCCAGCTCTCTCAGGTCGAGCAGGGAAAGGAGGAACCCCTATTTTTAGAACTTTTTGGAAAAGCTGCGAGAGGCATTGATTAAACATTCCAACCTAGACCCCGATAATTCCCAGGGACAGCTTACTCTTCGGGACAAATTTATCAGCTGGTCTACTTCTGGACATTAGGAAAAAGCAACAAGAATCTCCTAGAGGACCAGAGGACTCTGGACAGCCGCCTCAAGAGGGTTACCAAGATTTTTCACAATAGAGGAATAGCCCCCCGCCAGCAAACAATGAAAGGGAAACTACCCTAGAGAGGCCTGGCAGATGGATTTCACCCACGTACCCAGATCTTGAGTCTAGTCTGCACAGACACTTCTACTAACTGGGTAGAGGGCTTTCTCTAGAGAACTGAGCAAGCCTCAGAATAATTCCCCAGGTCCCGCCGAACCAACAAAATGACAGCAGCCCCTCTTTTACAGCGGCTGTTACTCGGGGGGGGGGGGTGTCTCCATGACACTGGGAATCCCGTGGCCTAGAGACCACAATCTTCAGGATAGGTGGAAAAAACTAACGAACTCCACCAAAGGCACCTTAAGGAACTCTCCCAAGAGACACATCTTCCAAGGCCAGCTCTGTTAAGGATTAGGACTACTCCCCAGGGAATAGGCCTGACTCCATAGGAGATGCTATGTGGATGCCCCTTTCTTAACAACAATCTCTTGCTTGATGGGGAAAGCTCAGACGTGGTGGTGTAGGACATAACAACCTGGCTAAGTTCTAGCGGACCTTGCAACATCTCTCTGGTGCCCACCCTGGGGAGACAGAACCCCCGTCTACAACACTGGGGACTTGGTGTTGGCCAAGCCTTTGCCTTCTCTTACCCCTTCATTACATCCTGTCTGGAGCAGACCCTATACAGTGCTCCTATCCATTCAACTGCAATCAAGGCAAACGGTATTGACTCCTGGATACACCATTCAAGGGGGAAGCTTTGGATCCCTGATAAAGAGCTCTTGGAGAGAGAAGAAAGAAAAACAAAAAGCGACCAGCATACCTGTGAACTTCTGGAAGACGTGAAGCTCTTTTTCAGGAAAAATCTAGCCCTTTCCTTGATGCCAGGTAAGTAATGACTATTAGCTTTTCTCAGTCGTTCGTAGTTTTAGGCACTTTCTTGTTTCTCATCTTTGCCATAGGATTATATGCAGTATCTCTACAGGACTGGGAACCCTGTCAGAAGCTGGGGATATGCTCCTCCTTTATTCTTTTTTTTTTAAAGATCTATTTATTTATGTGTGAGCACTTGTGCACAAATAGGGGGAGAGAATCTCAAGCAGACTTCCCGCCGAGTGCAGAGCCCAAAGCAGGACTCGATCCCACCACCCATGAGATCACAACCTGAGCCAAACCTAGAGTCAGACACCCAACTGACTGAGCCACCCCGGTGCCCCTGCTCCTCCTCTATTCTCATAATATTAGCCCTTTGGGCTGCCTTGGCCTTCCGCCCATCAAACTCATCTGTCTGGAACTCCTTAATGAGCAACTCCTTTCTGCTGGCAACCCCCAACACCCATGTTTGGAGGCAATAAAGGCAGTCTGAAGCCTATTAAAAGCTTCCACCACCACACCAGTCCATGCTTAGGACTGTTCTGTGTGTGAGTTCGTCCCCACAAGGAAACTAGAAGGCTGACCCCACTGACTTACTGGAATGGGCAACAGCACAGGCCAACCTCTCATTCCACATTGAGGGACCACTTCCACTTGTTGTAGATTTGAGTGACTACTTATATTTAAGTCAGGAATGACCACTCCCAGGGGATCAAGGTAGGAACCCTACCTATCCAGTCACTAATGTAACCACACCATAACGATGGCAGATACTCAGGGCTGGCGTTTTATAGACATTGGGAGATGATGGGCAAACTTCTCCCCCTCCTAGGCCACTTCCAAACAACATCAAATTAGCAACCACATATCCTAACAAGTGCCCCAAAAATGCATGGTACAATATTACCCAAAATTCATGGATGTTGTTCAACCCATCGAACCCTGCTTGGCTCCATTAGGGGCTGCCATACTTTCTCTTTAGATACCTCATACATGCAGGCAAACACATCACTTGGCCTTACTTCAAGAATTCCTGGTTCGCTTGGAATTTCTCTGCCTCCCTTCTTTTATGTTCACGTGTAACCCAAGAGGGACTGCTTTTCCTATGTGGAACGCAGGTATATACTTGCCTAACCTGCCAATTGGACAGGAACCTGCACCCTTGCTTATTTATCTCCCCCCATCTCTGTTGTTCAAGGCACATATTGAATACCTCTCCCTATTTACAGCTATCCACAATAAACTAAGATAAAGAGAGCCTGTCCAACTGGTAACCTCCTTGCTGCGTTAGGCAGATCAGTGGGAATGGCAATGGGTATAGCAGGATTTGCCACCCCAATCGATCATTGTAAAGGATCTATCAGCTGGATGGAGAGACTCCGTTGAGATATTAAAACACGCACTTGGTGATCTCCAGGGTTGTCTTACAAAACTGGTGAGGTCTGGATATCCTAACTGGGCTGGGGGGGAGGGTCTTGCACTATATTGGGGGAAGGATGTTGTTTCTTTTTTTAAAGATTTTATTTATTTATTTGACAGCGAGAGAGGAGAGCATGAGCAGGAGGGAGAGGCAGAGAGAGAAGCAGACTCCCCACTGAGAGGGGGCCCCCATGCGGGGGCTCGATTCCCAGGACCTGAGCAGAAGGCAGATGCTTATGTGCCTGAGCCACCCAGCTGTCCCTCGCCTAGACTCTATTAAGCCCCGTGGTCATGGAAATGGAATCTCGCTGGGACCTACAATTCAACTACTACAGAGGCCCATGAGGCAGACCCTCTGAGGGCTCCCTGGACAGTGGCTCCACTGACCAGGCCCATATGCAGTGGCAGGAAGCAGCCAGAGCAGCAGGTGTCCCTTATACCTAACAGCAGTGGGGGTACCTCTTCTGGAGGAGGGAGCAGTGGGAGTTGAGGAATGGACAGGCAGCCTGGGAGCTGGGCTTGAGCAACATGTTGCACACAAACGAGCATCTGTGCGTTAGGTAGGCTCTACATGCTTGAGACCGGACAAGGAGTCACTGAGCAAAGAATCCACCGAGGGGTCTTAGGAAGACACAAGAAACTGAAAATAGAGCGTGCAAGGCTGGCCCAGGGGCCTGGGTCCCAGGACGCTGGGATGGAGTGCCACAGCCAGGTATAGAAAGCGTGGGTGGCGCAGGGTTGAGGGTTGAGCGTCTGCCTTCTGCTCAGGGCATGATCCCGGGGTCCTGGAATTGAGTCCCGTATGGGGCTCCCCGCAGGGAGCCTGCTTCTCCCTCTTCCTGTGTGTCTGTGTCTCTCATAAATAAATAAATAAATAAATAAATAAATAAATAAATAAATAAATAAAATCTTAAAAAAAAAAAAAAGTCAAGTCAAATACAGAGACCCACGGCCGGTAGAGCTGTCACCAGGGCCCCTGCCCCCAGCCCCTGGCCCAGGGTGCTGCGGCCACGGCCCCGCGGGAGGCCGGGGGAGGCCGGGGGAGGCCGGGGGAGGCCCGGACAGCAGGCTTGCAGAGACCGCCGCGGCGCTCTGCCGGACCGCGGGCACTCGGGCAGCACCGCACCCCAGCTCGTATCCAGGAGGTAAAGTCTCGTATTAAAAAGTCCAGGTCTGGGTAGCAGACTCTCTGAAGCCCCAGCTGGGGCTCCCGGCTAAAGCACAGTCCCGCTCCCCCAGTGCCCCCACTACCCCGGTTCAATGGGAGTTTCCCAATCAGCAGCCCAGCGTAGGTAAATCGAAGAAGGTCCCTAAATTTGCATGGCGGACGCGGGACCTTTTCAGTCGCTAAATCCGGCGACCCCGGAGGGGGCGGGGCCTGGCGGGCGCGGGGGCGGGGGCGGGGCCGGGCGCGCGCGGCGCACGTGACGCCGGTTGCCAGGGTGAAAGGTCAGGCGCGGCGCGGCACTCCCAACATGGCGGCGGCGGCCGGGGCGGCCGCGGCGGCGGCGGCGGCGGCGGCGGCGGCGGTGACGGCGGCGCCGCGCAGCCCGGGAGCGCCGACGGCGGCGGCTCGAGCCCGGAGGCTGCCCCCGCTGCTCGTGCTGCTGGCGGCGGCGGCGGCGGGCCCCGGGGCGGGCGGCGCCGCACGGCTGTACCGCGCGGGCGAGGACGCCGTGTGGGTGCTGGACAGCGGCAGCGTGCGCGGGGCCACGGCCAACAGCTCCGCCGCGTGGCTCGTGCAGTTCTACTCCTCGTGGTGCGGCCACTGCATCGGCTACGCGCCCACCTGGCGGGCCCTGGCCAGGGACGTGCGAGGTGAGGCGCAGCCCTGGAGGCTCGAGGCGGAGCCGCCGGGAGCCGTGAGGCGGCCCGCCCCGCGCAGGTGGGGCCCCCGCCCGGGCCCCTGCCCCGCGGCTCGCCGACGCACACCCCCTTAGGCGCCTCGGTACGTCCCGGTCCCGCCCCCGAGCCCCCTGCCCTTTCCGCCCTCTGTGGCTGGGGGCTCCCGGAGCCGGCACCCGAGACCTCTGCGGCGGCCGAGCGGGACCACGTCCTCCGGGCCGCACGGTCGTGCTGCCTGCTGGGGACCGGTCCCCGGGCTACTCGCCGGCCTGCAGGCGGAGTTGGGGGTGCGGGCGTCTGCGGCTCCCTCCCCGCCGGCGGGCTGAGCTGTCCAGAGGCGCGGGGGGGGGGGGGGTGCTCCGCAGCCGGAGCTGTCCTCGGCCAGAGTGAGGCCTGGCGGGCGGAGCTGGTGCGCAGCTGACCTCTAATTATGTATTTCCGTGGGCAAGAGGACAGCAAATTGCTACACTTTCTGCCTGTACTTTGAGTCTTATATCCTTTGTTGTGATTTTTCTCATAGCCAAACAGATTCACCGACTTTTTAAGAGCCTAAATAGGGTTTTTGTGCAAAAGTGTCAATGACGATCTTTAAGATGGGTTTTCCTCTTACCTCCTGGTCTTGGGATTTTTGATTCTGAAGACTTTGTTCTTTGAGTTCATGTTTTCTTAAGTCCCCAGTGTCTGGAACCCAGGGGGGTGGACAGGCAGCATCTTAGTAGGTTTTCTTAAAGCCTTTGCTCTGGGGACAAACAAGCATTTTAATAACAGGAGGACTTTTCAGGGGTTGTGTTTCAGTGGCAGAAACACAGATATGTACATTCACGTGCAGGTACCCGTGACAAGACATTTGTCACCTATTTTGTGCATATTTTGGTTTTCTCATATAGTATCTGAAATACAAATAGGGTGAACCAGATTTGAACGTTGCAAACTATTCTGTCGTCGAACCAGCGTGTAAGGATGTCCCTGGAACTGGGAAGGAAGGTTTCTTTTGGAAATGAAAGTGGTAAAATCTGTACCTAATGGTGTGATTAACTCAACTATTAGCTAAATAAGGTTACCCTAACAAGATTGGACGGTGTCCAAGTCAGGACAGGAAGACGACCTGAGACGGAAGGGAAATATGGCTGAAAGTGAAAAGCAACTATGGTCTGAAAAGGGATAGGGACGCCAAGGAGCACTTAGAGCCCTCAGCACCAAGGAGTGGCCCGCTTGGGGTCCCCAAAGAGAGGTCACCTGGGAACTTGTTAGAAACATGTCACCACCCCAACCCAGACCCACTGGGTCAGAAACTGGAATGAGGCCCAGCATCCTGTCAGCACAAGCCCCAGGGCTGCAGGATTACTGTTCTCAGGAGCACCAGCCCTAGGAGACACCTGCAAGGAAAGGCTCATGGCCAAGAGCACCAGGAAACAGCCCATGAACTCCCCCTCGTGGATGTCTACCACACACAAGAATTCCTCAGGAAAGAAGTTTGCCAAGTCTAAGCCTTTGCTTCCTACGTGATCTACCACAGGACGCTTTTTTATGCCTCATTTCAGCCGACTCCCCGTGGAATCACTGGAAAGGAGCCCCCCAACCCCCCCCCCCAGCTGGCCAGCTGCCCACAGGGGATCAGAAGCCCATCGTTCCCTGTGGTCCTGATTGAGCACTGGCTTCCTTCCCCCCTGTCACCACTTTGGCCCCATTGTGAATTCAGCTGTCCAGTCTCCCAGGCACAGAGACCTTGCACTGGGCCCCCTTGGTTGCCTCTCTCCACCCCTCTTGAGATGGAGAGTGTCCAGCCAGCTTTTCCCATCCACCGCCACTCCGCCCCCAGCCTCAGCACCATCTCCAGGCTTCTGGAAAGTGGGACAGGCTCTGCTCCCCAGTGAGATTGGGGGGGAAGGCGGTGGCGGTGGCACTGTTTCCCCTGCCATCCCTCCACCCCTGCTACCTGAAGGGCCTCTGCCATTTGCTCAGAAGGGACAGGAAGCCTGAGGAGTGGTCTGCAGAGGGTGGGGCTCCTCCTCCCCAGCTCTGCAAGCCCTCTCTGCACACAGCTTTGGGATACCTTTGTTATCCTAAAAGATTTAGATTGAACTTGAGCACTTCACTGACGTTTTCAAGATTTTGAAAATGAATGTTTTTCCTTCTAAGAAGGTGGCTTAACAAACAAAAGGTCTACTGTTGAGTGTAACCAGGTGTTGTTCCAGTGTTTATGTGGATCTAGCTCAGCCTGTCACTTCTAAATCCTTTGCAAAACAAAACTCCGTTGTGCTCCTAGAAATCATTTAGCCCAGAGCTATGGCATTAGGTCCCTCTGTGATGCCACATCTTCTTACTCCGGAGATGAGACATCCATCCCATGGCCCCTGAGCTGTCTGTGAAGTATCTCTGTGGAGATGTTGGTCAACTCAGGGAATATCCCGAAGCCTCAGCATCTGTTCTTATGGGTCTCGCATTTACTCCCGTCTTGCCAAAGTGGGGCAGATTTTCTGTAACAGGGCCCTGGAATTCTAGGTGAGGCTCAGGGGCAGCCCAAGACTTAGCAGGCAGTCACTTCCAGCACATACCTTTTCTTCCTGTCCTGCAAGGGTGTGTTGGTGCACCCATGTCGCAGAGGGTGACCCTCAGAGGCCCCATGAGGCTGAGTCATTCACTTAGGGTCATACAGCTGAGTGACAGGCTGCGTGGCTCCGGGGCTCATAGCTCACTCTGTGGCAGCAGTGGAGCAGGTGCTTGTTCTTGCTGCCCAGAGTCCACTCTGGCTTGCCCCCCCTTGAGTTCCTCATTCACCATATGGTCTTCCCGCCTACCTGGCTAGGCTGCAGGTTTCTTGGAGATGAGCCGGGACCACTTGGTGTTCCCCATGGGCCCATGTTCCAGTGGGGCTGGTGAGTGATGGGGGAGGGGTGCCGATGGCAGTGGAGTGACATATCAGTGCACCTCCAGGGGTGTGCTTGTCTGGACTCTGGGTTGGAGGCAGGCAGGGCAACAACGACCTGTTACGGCCCAGGAAGGCCTGTTGTGCCCCTCACCCCTGGCCCTGTTAGCCTGAGTGAGACACGCCCGCGAGTCTCTGTGATGACTGTGACCAGAGGAGTACTGCTGCAGCATTGCCAAGCTCAGTGAGAACCCAGGTCATCAGGGCCACCAGGAAGACGAGCTGGGGGACTCGGGCAGTGTTGTGAGGCTTTCAGGAGAGACGATTGCATCCAGGATGGCTGTGTCCCATCACACCTCTGGAACAGCTGCCCTGGACTGTGTGTAGGACTAGTTTAACTCCACTACACCGAGCGCTGGGCTAGGAGCACCATGGAGACCTTGGTCCACCTCCACTCTGAGGGTAAACTGAGGCAGCATGCCAGGACTCTCCAACCACCTCCAGTAACTTCTAGATAACTCACTCTGGCCTCTGCTTATCAGTACATGGGCTTAATTTCTACCCAGGCCTGTGTGTGTATATATATATATATATTTTTTTTTTTCTTTAAGTAGGCTCCATGCCCAGCGTGGAGCCCAACACAGGGCTTGAACTCTCAACTCTGAGGTCATGACCTGAGCTGAGATCAAAAGTCAGACACTCAACTGACTGAGCCCCCTGGGTGCCACTACCCAGGCCTGTATAGCCTGCACTTGATCTTGGGGTCCTCTGAAAACCCTTGTTTAACCCAGAAGGGGTCTACTCCGAGGGAAAGAGCGTCCTCTGGTGGCTGGAATGTGCAAGCCCCACCACCCAGGCTTCACCAGGGTAGAGAACCTCCTTGCAGCTCCACCTTCCAGACAACCTTCCTCTTGCACGCTCTTAAATCCCAGAGGGTAATGATCCTGTATTACAATCACTTTTCATGACAAATTGATGCTTGCCTACAAATCCGACTTCTATAGACTTTTTATTAGAACTTGGCAAGTAGTGGTATGAGGTTTAATCCTGTAGGTTGTCATAGAGTTGCTTGACAGGTAAACCTGAGATAAATTTTAGTTTGCTGTTACATAGAAGCTTAATTATTTGATGAGTGTTTTTAAGCCTTTGGTCCTGAAAATGGGCAGGCTTGTGAGCAGAGCGTTACTTGCTCTGCGGATGCCTCCCAGCTAGTGCCCTTTAGCTAGTGCCCTTTACCCTGGCTTACGTTGGGGGTAGCCTGACACTCGCCCAAGCAGGCAATTTGCATTCGATTTGGCGTGTTTCTGTCCTTTGTGTGTGGGATCTAGACAGGTGGGAAAGGCAGGAGGAAGGGAGGGCGCGAGTTCAATGAGGCAGATACCCCGAAGCTAAACCTTTGAAATAGTTTGCATTTTATTCGATAAAATAGACTGTGTCTTTTGTGTTTCCGTGAATGCCTCCATCTGCCAGCACAGGGACTGCTGGTGTCTCTGTAACCGAAATTCTCCTTCATCTGCTTTCCTCATAAGCCTTCCCGCCTAGTGCAGGGCAGCTTCCTTTCCAAGGCAGACAAAGACCTGGTGAGGCGTCAGCCTGTGCCTCCACTCAGCCGGCCAGGTTCCGGCAGGCGGGTGTGCTGTGCCTCGAGCGGAGCTCCGCAGACACGCTTGACGACGACAATCCTGGGGAACCAGGGCAGGTGGCTGCCTCTGTGTGCCGGCACAAGGCACTGTCCTCGCCTCATCCATACTCCTCTGTGCTCCCCACGGAGGTAGATTTTGCATCCTCCTTCCACACGTTGGAACTTGTACTGGTTACATTCTGTGTGGCCCTGGTAGGTACTGAGAAACAGTGAACCAGGCAGGGATGATCCAAGTGGAGCCTGTGCCTCAGAGGAAGGGACAGTGAACAGAACACAAACAAAATGAGGTTCGTTGTAGGTCATACGTCCTAGGAAAATAAGCCCAATGACTGGATTGGCACAGGGTGGTGGAGGAAGGCCTCGCATGGCATTTGACATTCAGAAGATGAGGGGCATGCCACAGCAAGTGCCGAGACCTTGTGGCAGGCAGGACCGCAGGCGTCCAGAGGACTGCAAGGGGCCCTT